GGGGAGCAACTCAAGTTCTATATATTTTCATATTTTTTCTGTATATTAATAAACATCTTATGGTACATGCTCAAGTCAAGTTCTAACCTGCTATGCAAGCTGAGATATTTTTACCTCTTTGGGCCTCTGGGAATTATTTCATAGCTAATATTTAATTTTTTGGTAGAGATGCAGTCTCCGCTATGTAGCTTAGGCTGGCCTTGAAATCCTGGGCTTAAGTGATCCTCCAACCTTGGCCTCTCAAGTGCTTGGATTGCAGATGTGAGCCACCTGGCCTCTGCTCAGAATTTCTGACTATTCTCTCGCATCAAAACTCGCCCAGAGCTCAGACCATCAAATCACTTAGTATAGGAATTGAAACACCTGATAGAGATTACCAATCCATTCTGTGTTCAAAGAAGTATAGATCTTCATGGTGAAGCGTCAATTTGATATTTGAAGTTAATGTTAGTTCTGGTCACGTTCATTAACTTTCATATATAGCTAGGATGAGCCTTGGCTTTATTTATTATCTAATTTTACAGAAGAGTGCACACAGGCCTTTGATGTTTGCTTAGGTTGTCAAGTGCAATGTTGTATGGCTTCATGAGTGTTCTATACAGTGAAAACACCTGTCTTTGGGTCTTTAAAAAACAGACCTCTCACCAATATAGATATTCTGTACACCTAACCCTCTGAGCCTGGTTTCATTTTATTTTAGTGAACACACAGCTAATGGATTCTTTTTTTTTTTTTTTTTTTTTGAGACGGAGTCTCATTCTGTTGCCCAGGCTGGAGTGCAGTGGCACGATCTTGGCTCACTGCAACCTCCACCTCCCAGGTTCAGGTGATCCTCCTGCTTCAGTCTCCTGAGTAGCTGGGACTATAGGTGTGCACCACCACTCCTGGCTAATTTTTGTATTTTTAGTAGAGACAGGGTTTCACCATGTTGGCCAGGCTGGTCTCGAACTCCTGACCTGAAGTGATCCACCTGCCTCAGCCTTCCAAAGTGCTAGGATTACAGGCCTGAGCCACCGCACCTGGCTGATTGATTTAAATTATACAATTATATCATAATATACCATGGCCACTTTACTAAATGTTGAACAACTAACCTGGAAAAAATGTTGATGTTTTTAAAGTTATATTCAAACATTCAAGAGAAGAGGCATAATGTGTAACTGAAATGCAAGGCACTTCAAGAAACGCAGGGCTACCCTTGTGCATAGCTGATGGGAATGTAAAACGGTGCGGCTGCTCTGGTAGACAATTTGGTAGTTCCTCAGAACGTTAAACATAGCCTTATCATATGATCCAGCAATTCCACTCTGAGGTATATACTACTTGTATACCTACTTGTACACCTATATTCATAGCAGTAATATTCACAATCACCAAAAAGTACTAACAACCCAAATGTCTAACAACAGAATAATGGAAAAACAAAACGTGTTATGTACATACAAAGAAATATTGTTCAGCCTTCAAAATGAATGAAATTCTGATACATTCTACAACATGGATGAACCTTGTAAATATTATGCTATTAATAAGTTAAGCAAAGAGAAACAGAAAGAAAAATACTATACGAAAAATACTATATGATTCCAATTATAGGAGGTACTTAGAGTAGTCCATTTGATAGACAGAAAGTAGAATGGAAGTTAGTATGGGCTGGGGGAAGGCAAATGAGGAGTTACTGTTTAATGGGTATGGAGTTTCTGTTTACAAGGAGGAAAACGTTCTGGAAATGGAGAGGTGATAGTTGCATAGCATTGTGAATGTACTTAATGTCATTGAACAATACACTTAAAAATAGTTAAAATGGGCCAGGCATGTTGGCTCACCCCTGTAATCCCAGCACTTTGGAAGGCCAAGGTGGGTGGATCACCTGAGGTCAGGAGTTCAAGACCAGCCTGACCAAAATGGTGAAATCCCGTGTCTACTAAAAAATACAAAAAATTAGCCAGACATGATGGTGGGTGCCTGTGATCCCAGCTACTCGGAAGGCTGAGGCAGGAGAATTGCTTGAACCTGGGAGACAGAGGTTGCAGTGAGCCAAGATCGCACCACTGCACTCCAGCCTCGCTGTGACCAAGTAAGACTCTGTCTCAAAAAAAAAAAAACTGTTAAAATGAGGCTGGGTGCAGTGGCTTACTCCTGTAATCCCAACACTTTGGGAGGCCGAGGCGGGCAGATCACCTGAGGTCAGGAGATTGAAACCAGCCTGCCCAACATGGCGAAACCCCGTCTCTACTAAAAATACAAAAAATTAGCCAGGTGTGATGGTGCATGCCTGTAATCCCAGCTCAGGAGACTGAGGCAGGAGAATCATTTGAACCTGGGAGGCAGAGGTTGCAGTGAGCTGAGATCATGCCATTGCACCTGGGCGACAAGAGTGAAACTCTATCTCCAAAAAAAAAAAAAAAGTTAATGATAAATTTCATGTTACGTATATTTCATCACAGTTTTTTCTTTTTTTAATCACCAAAAATGGGGGGATGTACAGCTAAAAGATTTTGTACCTATTTTCTAATCTTACTGTATTTGATGATTTTTCTGCCTGTTTCAATGCTGCTTTATTCCTCACAGAGAGCTTCTTAGAGGTAGTGTGGGCTTAGTGTGTTCAAAGTTGCACTGGTTGATGTGCATAATTCAGAGTCCAATTGGTTTTGTTACAAGTGTTGAAGGAAGAGTTGAGAACTCCATATTCTATCCATTAGGCTTTATTTTTCTTTTTTTTCTTTTTTTTTTTTTTTTGGAGACGGAGTCTCGCTCAGCCATCTAGGCTGGAGTGCAGTGGTGCTCACTGCAACCACTGTCTCCCGGGTTCAAGTGATTCTCCCGTCTCAGCCTCCTGAGTAGATGGGATTACAGGCACCCACCATCATGCCCGGCTAATTTTTGTATTTTAGTAGAGACAGGGTTTCATGTTGGCCAGGCTGGTCTCAAACGCCTGACCTCAGATGATCCTCCTGCCTCAGCCTCCCAAAGGGTTAGGATTACAGGCATGAGCCACCGTGCCCGGCCAGTAGTTTTTTTCTTACATGAGATTGTTAAAAATGTGGGTGAGGAGTGGGTGAGTGAGAGGTAATTTAAAAGTGGAAAAACAGCGCATGCTGGACTTCACGTTCCAAAATGAAAAGCATGCTTTTGTGGCAAACTGAAAGGCTAGGAATCAAGGGTGATGAAATGCAGGCCTTCCGGCCCTCACTCTGTTCCCGATTTCTGGTTGTGGGAATCTGTTCTGAATCCAACTGCAAGTGGAAAACCCATCTTTGGCTGAGCAGCCAGGGAGGCCCTCCTGCCAATCCCCCAAATGTGCTGCTGAAACTTTGGCCCTGCAAGGCTGGAGCTAGGGCTGTCTGCCCCAGATCTATGCAGCTGTCAAGGTGGCTGTGATGGGACTGTGACTGCCCTCTGCACTGCATTTTGGCAGTGACCTTGAGACCAGCCAGCTCACCACAGCTGTCCTGCTCTGCTGCCGCTGTTGCAATGCCAGGTGGCTAAGAGGGGTGGTGGGGGGCACGGCTCCTGGTCCAGCTTTCCCAGTGTCTTGCAGGTGCCAGCTGTGGTGCCAGCTGTCCCACTGCCTACCACCCACTGTGTGTGGGGGCAGTCCAGGTGTGTGTTGGGAGATGGTGGCTTGTTCTACCCCTGGCTCAGGTCCTGATCCCTAGGAAGTGGGTGGCTCTGTCTGACCGCGAGTCTGGTGCACAGACCGGCCCCACGGACTTGCTTGACAGGTCTGCGGATATAGATGCTCAGTGACAGTTGATCTTGGGAGACAGAAGAGCCAAAGGTATCCTTTTATCCCAAAGATATGAGTCCTAATTTTCCTTCTGGTAGGGGAGAATTTTTATTTGGAAATGAAGGTCATCAGAAATGCCCAGAGCAAGAGAGAGAAAGTCCTTTCTCTCTAGCCACTCAGAGTGGCAAGTGTATTTTGAAAACTCCTCCCCTTCTTTTTGTTCTCATCCTGTCCTTTTCCTTTTCAGTGGCTTTACTGTTATTTTTTAATTTGCCATTGTCATTGGACATTTATTGACAGAAATCAAATTGCTGTGTTTCTGGGCAAGGCGCCTGCTGCAAAGAGGTGTGGTTCCCGAGGAATGAGACATGCAGCCCAACAGCTGAGCCTACACTGTCCTCACATAACCTCCCTGCCTTAAATATCGCCAATATTTAGCCTTGCCTTATAAAGTAAAAATGCACAATACCTTCCAGAGTTTCAACAAGCCCAAATGCCCCCCTAGGCTCAGTTATGTCTCCTGTACATTGGAGGCACAGCAGCGCACCCCTCCCCCATGCAGACCTGCTCTCGGAGCCGCCAAGAGGTTACTAATCAGGAAGGCTCTGCCATCGATCCAATGGTGGTGACCTGGGGGATTTGTGTGCATTGTTTTTGCTGAAGCCTCCTGTGATTTCGGCGCGACCAGATCCTCTGCAGCGAACTCCATGTCGCAGCTTGTGGCTGCCTGTGTCCTGTGGTGAGAGCCGAGCCGCACAGGAGATCCTTTGTCTAGGAAGGGCTAGGCTGAGAAGATCACTTTGGAGTTGCTAAGCTCTGCATTGCCATTGGCTGCACTCTTTGTGGGGCTGTTTTTGCAAAAGGCATGCCCAGCACGTCTACAGTGCTGGCAGGCCAGGGCTGCCTTTAAACACCATGATAATAATACCAAAAAGCAGTTTGCAGAACTGTTCCACTGTAGAGGCTTCCTCTGCAGAAGCAAGCAAGATGGCTACCTCGTGGGCTTCGCTGTGAAGAATGCAGAGGCTAATTAAGACAGACTTTAAGGGGAAAAAAGGGTATTTCCCTACTCAATCTTTATGCAAGATTTTTTTTAGTGACTTTTAAAGTATACATTTTACATACGCTCTTTAGGTTCTGCCTAGCAAACATGTTGATGATTTTAAATGGTGTAAATAGTTTTACAGAGAAATAGCCAAAAATTTTGGGGATGTGGGAGCTGATTTTATTTCTTAAACAGAGGCTCATTTTGCAATTTGATTTTTTTTAGGTTATAAAGGAAAACAAGAGGCCCCAGAGGGAAAAGAAGCCCAAAGTTTTAAAGGTAATCAGCTGTTGATTAAATAATATTTCATTATTTTTCCATTTCATATAGTATTTTTCTGCACTTGGGTATATTTGGAGTACAGTATATGTGAATTCTCCCAGATTTTCAGTAGATGGATGAATTTCCACTCAACTAAAGTGTTTTCTCTTTTTTTTTTTTTTGATGTGCTGCATAATGTGCATATTAGCATCCTTTATTTTCAACTCCACACAAGTCTACAGAAGGAAAAGTTTGTATGCAGAGGGTTGTGAATAAAATTTGTTTTTCTTTGTAGCTCCCTTTGTAGCATCTGCATTTGTGGTGTTGCACCAGTGTGTAAACTTAAGCCCTTTAGAAGAAAGGCACTATTTGAAGTTGACATCTATGATCCATTGTGATTTTAATAGACTGTCCATTAAAGGCTATTTTAAAATGTATGATTCTTTTCCAAAGAAAAAGGTCCTTAGAGATTTTAGTTAAACTTAATGTGTAAGTCGTGGAGATCTTACAGCTAAATTATAGTTGTTTAATCTCAAATTCTCATAATATCATCTTTAATTTTGGCTTTCATGGAGCCATAAGAATATGCATGTTTTCTTTATTTTCTGTAGTTTGCCTGATGAGTATTTAGTGGTAACCTAATTCAGTTATAAGCTCACAGTCTGTGTGATGAGATTTGTACAGTGTTTAGAAGGGTTAATTTAAAAGCATATGGCATCACTAAAAGTTCAAGGCTAGCTTTAGTGTAGCAAATAGGTGCTTATGTGTTTAAGATTTCAAGTGGTGTATTGCTATTAGAAATGTAAGCAACCTTTGCAAGCCACCTTTTAAATTCATGAAGAAATACTAAGCAATAAAATGACTTGCCTTTAATTATTTTGTGTACATTTAATTTAAAATAGTTTTACCTAATCCTAGCTTTCCTTTTTTACATATAAAGTTTTAGCACTGAAAGAGGAACAACATGTTGAACTATGAATGTGGCAGAATTTTATTTCATTTGTTGCCCCAGTGTGTAACTTGAAAATGTTGACACGGAGAACCAAACCTTGCCCTGCTTTCAAATTTGCCTGACCACATTGAGTTTCTGCTTCCTGTGTATATACAGCGTTTTTATGTACCAGTTTCATCAACCAACAAGTATTTATTTAATATTTACCACACAGTCAGCAATGTGCTAGGCACTGTGAAATGAATGAAATTGCTTGACACAAATTTTCACTGGGCCTGGACAAATAGAATCATGGTTATTCTCAAGGTAAATTAAACCCTTTTCTGTTTTTCTTCTTTGTGCTGATCCATCAACTCCCTTTTTCTCCTTTTCCTTCCAACAAAGATAGAAGTTTATCATTAAAACCTCCTTCTATACTTTCTGTCTTGGCTATATCCATCTCAGGCATTTTGTGAGAAATAGTTGTAGTCTTACTCTTATAAATGGCTCTCATTCGTTGGAGTTGTCGATGGGGGTTAGCAGGAGAAAGGGATAGACTATATGGAGAAAACTAATACAGACCAAGCCTAGTATCTATATCTTCTCCTGCCTTGGCTAGGAAGTAGAATTGGACTTTGAGAATGCAATCTAATTCTATGTTTATTTTGTTAGATTGTGAGTGTCCTGTCACCTGAAATAAATTTAAAAAGTAAATATACCATGTGTTGCTTTTTGGAATCATGGTAGTGGACTCTGATTTAAAAGAAAAAGAAAAAAAGTACCTGTGGGTGGCCACATTTCATCTGCAACAGCAAGCAGAACCAAATTGTTGCTCACGTTCCTCTATAGTTAGCAATTGTTGTACAAGAGCAGGAAAATATTCTAAAAGGAAAAAAATTTCTGATGTTGGCATTTAAAAATGTTTTTCTACACTTTCTGTTAGACATAATTTTTTTTCTCATCCAAAGAAAGCTTTGTTTCTCTGCTTCACAGTAGAAATGCTAAAAAAAAAAAAAAACTTTTGGATTTTAGCTTGATGTGTATAAAATTCATAGAGCAAATGTAGAATATTATATAATCCTATAGGAGACATAAGAAAATGAAACCTGTGTTTGGGAAGGAGAGTGGGAGAGGAATACAACTATCAGCTTAAGGTTTTATGAGTGAGGACTTCAACGTTCTAGGAGGATGCTTCCTGGGGGACCAGTGATGGGAATCTCACAGGTTATGATTTGATCTTCCATCATAATTTGCTGTCTTTACATTTGGCATTATTCCAGAAATTTAGTCTGCTTCCTGTGAAATCTCCTGGATCATTTACTCTTTGTCAGTGTGGATGCTGCAGGTATCCTGATTGACTTTTCATTTTCATCATGTATTAGAAAGTAGTTGGATAGGTGAAGAACGTGATTCAAGAAGTTGGGTATAGAATTTGAGACTTGTTTCATCCTACACTGATCTGAACCTGATAACTACTGAATCTAGTTGTGGGGCTGAAATTGGCTGGAATGTCTTATATCCCTCTCCTCTTAAAAACATACCTATTATCCACCAGGTGTGATGACTCATCCGTGTAAACCCAGAACCTTGGGAGGCCAAGGCAGGAGGATTGCCTGAGGCCAGGAGTTTAACACCAGCCCGCAAAACGTAGCAAAATCCTGTGTCTATGAAAAATTTAAAAATTAGCTGGATGCGATGGCATGCACTTGTAGTCATAGCTACTCATTAGCCTGAGGAGGGAGGATCGCTTGAGCCTAGGAGTTGGAGGCTGCAGTGAGCTATAATCACATGAGCTATATGCACTCCAGCCTCAGCGGTAGAATCAGACCTTGTCTCCAAAAAAAAGGGAAACTATTATCCTTATTTATACCTATATTCATTCTATTGTACTTCAAAATTAAAAACTAAATAGTGATCTAAATCCTGATTAGAGATTCTTCCTGTAGCTGAAATGATAGTTCTGGCCAAAGCACTCTAAAGGCCAGAATGGGTATCAGCTAATGGTGCACCAGTGGTGGGTGGGGGTGGCTCAGCATCAGCTTCCTGTTCAAGCCTATTGGTGATCACTAGTTATTTTCATACATAGATGACATCTTGTTAGCAATGTTATTATTGGAAACACAAGCATTTCCTTGACTCTTGATCTAGGTAGAGATGTGGTCTAATTCCAGTCCTTGAATCATGAACTTGGCCTTTTAAGTGATGTGGTTTAGAATTCCTCTTGGAAGAAACCTTTGTGTAAATAACTTTTACTTTGTGTGTGTGTGGTGGGGGCAGGTAAGTAGGAGTGTATATTCCCTTTAAGAAAGTCGATTTTAAGGTGATATTAATTTTGTTAGATTGTTAGTCATTGTCCCTGGAGAAACTCAGACAGCACAGTCGATTGGGGGTTTGAACAGAGTTTAATAGACGAATTACTTTAAATGGTGTGGGGAGGGTTAAGGAAAGAACTAAGGATGGTGAAGAAATCCAGGTCTAATGAAGCCAGAGCTATTACTAATCCTAGGCCTGAAGGGGGATGGTGACTGGGAACCAGGTAATGTAGCTCCAGCTGAGTAGAGGAAGCATGGGCTGAAACCTTTGGTAAAGAGATGCTCTTGCAAGGAGTCAAGGAGGGGGTGGGTGTGGGATAAATGCCCTGCTCTCCAGTCTCTTGCTGCTTTGATTGGTTGATCCCAATGGGGAGCCAGAGTGAAAGGGGAGACTTCTGATGCAGTACACGCTGGTCAGCCTTCTGGGACGTGTAAGAGGGTTATGGAAGGTGGAATGTAGGCCTGGAAGGGAAAACAACATGCTGAGCATGACTACTGACCACAGGGGTAGCATGGTAGGGTGAACAATAGTACTAGAACCATGATTACATAAGATGGTAACATTAGGCAAAGATGGCTGAGGAGTATGTAAGAACTCTATACTATTTTTGCAACTCATCTGTAAATCTAAAATTATTTCGAAATAAGCATGAGCATCCTTGAGGGGATGCATTTCTACATTCTGTAATTAGTCTTTTTGGCTGGTAAGGAATATTTTCTAGCTATTTAATTATAAAATATCATCACAGTAGTATTTGGAAGAGCTGGGTGAACAAATATAAAGAAATGTCAGTGGATATTAAACCAGGAGAGTGTCTCCAGAGGCTGATTTTAGAAAGGCAAAATGGAAACTGAGGGATCTTCCTGCAGGGTTCAGCACTGACTTGTTCTTCTCTGTTTCCTTCATTCCTTGATGACACTGATAAAGAACAAGTGGGGCTGGGCGCAGTGGCTCATGCCTGTAATCCCAACACATTGGGAGGCCGAGGCGGGCAGATCACCTGAGGTCGGGTGTTCGAGACCAGCCTGACCAACAGACAGAAACCCCCATGTCTACTAAAAATACAAAATTAGCCAGGCGCAGTGGCTCATGCCTGTAATCCCAGCTACTCGGGAGGCTGAGGTAGGAGAATCACTTGAATCCAGGAGGTGGAGGTTACAGTGAGGAAACAAGCAAAAATTGCCGAGATGATGAAGGAAAACATCATCCAGGGAAAGTTACTTAATATTCCAATAATTTATAAATTGTTTTTATTGAATTTATTTATTTATTTGAGACAGAGTCTCAATCTGTCGCTAAGGCTGGAATGCAGTCGTGCAATCTTGGCTCACTGCAACCTCTGCCACCTGGGTTCAAATGATTCTCCTTCCTCAGCCTACTGAGTAACTGGGATTACACGCATGTGCCACCACGCCCAGCTAATTCTTTTTTTTTTTGTATTTTTTAGTAGAGACGCGGTTTTGCCAGGCTGGCCAGGCTGGTCTCAAACTCCTGGCCTCAAGTGATATACCCACTTCAGCCTCCCAAAATGCTGGGATTACAGGCATGAGCAACCATGCCTAGCCCATAAATTATTTTTATATATACTAGACCAGTGCTGGTTTAAAAGGACTAAATTATATGTTGGTTATGTTTGTTTGTTGTTTGTTTGTTGAGCTGAGGTCTTGCTGTGCTGCCCAGGCTGGTTTTCAACGCCTGGGTTCAAACTATTGTCCTTTCTCATTCTGCTGAGTAGCTAGGATTACAGCTACCCTCCCCTGCTAAAATTACTAAA